GGCAGGTGGGAGGCAGGAGATGAGGGCAGGTGGGAGGCAGGTGGGAGGCAGGAGATGAGGGCTGGTGAGAGGCAGGTGGGAGGCAGGAGATGAGGGCAGGTGGGAGGCTCTTGCCACAGACCAGGCAAAATCATAGAGGGTGCGGGTCAAGGTGGTGGCAGCAGTAGGAGGAATAGAAAGCAAAAGACCTATTGGAGAGATTTTAAGGAGTAGGAATGACAGAATTTCATCACCATTTGGCCATGGGGTTGAGGAAGAGGGAGGAATCTAAACTGACTCCCAGGTTTCTGGCATAGGTGAATGGGTGAAAGGTGATAGGGATAGGTCACAGAGAATTTGGGGAAAGGTGGAGTCTGAGTCACAGGAAGGGCAGGTGGCTACACCAATAAGTAGCTGTAAATATGAAGTAGGAAAGAGATCTAGCTGGGCGATAAAAATATGAAGGCATCAATACACAGCTGGGAGTTTGCCGCCATGGGCAAGGACAATGGAAGCTGGTAGGTGTCAGAACGGACATCAGGCAGAGAACCCACCTCCACCCCAACTGTGCTACAGGCAACCACAGAGAAGCAGGGAGAGCCTAAGGATGCCCTAATCTCTCATGCTGCAGGAAGGAACCAAGACTTGGATCCCTGGTATTTTTCCCAGCCAGGACAGCACCAGAGGGATGCTCCCACCAGCAATTCACTCTTCTGAAATAATTTCTTCTGCTTACTGTCCTTTACCACCTGGGGCTTAAGTAAGACCTAGGTCAGAGAACTAACCAGTGGCCCAAAGGCTGTGGAAGGGCCAAACTCTGCCTGCTGTCAGGCCAGGGGCTGGGCCAGCATGGAGAGGGTACAGGCCACTCAGCAGCCACGTGAGGCAGCCACGAGGACATGGGGAAGGCAGGCAGACATCCCCTGGGTCTGAGAGCTGAGCCTTGGCCAGCAGGGAAGGCTCAGCCTAGGAACATTCTCCAGATCCCTTTGGTACAAATAGCAGGGTTGCCTGCCTTCTCCCTGGGGATGCCGGGCAGGCAGTCCGTGTACGCGGGCAGTCCCAGCACGCGGGCAGTCCCTGTGTACACGGGTAGTCTGTGTACACAGGCAAAATGTTCCAAGTGGTGGGGTGGGGTTGGTGGTGGCCCTACAAGACACTGAGCATCTGCCCGGGTGTCCATGGTGTTCCCTGAATCTTCTATATTTTTCCAGGGGGTACTGAGGGAAGGAAGCATGGGAGCCATCTGCCCCGGTTTACTTTACAGGTGACCTGGTGTCCTGGAGACTTAGTTGGTCAGGACCCCGAGCTCATCAGCCCTGCCTACCTCACCTCAGCCCTGAGCAGAGACCCAAACAGCCCCTGAGGCCCCAGAGCCTCCATCCACACCAACACAGGACCAGGCAGACAGGAGTACCCTCACTGAGATTTGTTTTTTCTGATTGTTTTATTTGAAAACCCTAGGATATGTCCCCTCCCTCACCACACCCATCTCCCCGCCCCCTGCCCCAGGACATGACGATGCCACACACACACACACACACACACACATACACACACACACACACACACACACACACACACACACACACGGGGCCGTGAGCTGCACACGGGAACACAGGGGCTGCACTCACGACAACATTGAAAAAATATACATTATATATAATTCCCCCCGGGGGCCCTCACACTCCCTCCCGTCCCCGAAACCTGCCTACACTGGGTCAGAGGAGGGGCCAGGGCTGCAGGACCTCAGGACTGCAAGGGCAGGAGGGGAAAGAGGACAAGAAAGGAAGGAAGTTGGGAAGGAGGGAGAAGCAGGGTCCCCAAACTGAAATGGAAACGAGGTGGGGGGATCATAAGAGAAGCAGGGACGGCCCAGCTGAGGGAGCCCTGCAGAGGGAGAGAGGCTTCCCATGGACAGGAGAGAGAAGGGAAGGGAGAGGAGAGGGTTTCCTTCAACCCCACCCCAGCCCCAGCCCCAGCCCCAGCCATTGTGACCGTCACCCCCTCCCCAACAGAGTGAGTGCTAAGGAGGCAGCTGCCACTGAGGCTAGAAAGGCAGCCGAAGTCCAGCCCACTTTCCAATGCAGCCAGCCCCGGTGCCAGGGGCACACCAGGAGCATGACACAGCCCAGAGGCCAGGAATAGGGGCCCAGGGAGGGGCAGGGCGGACTCCAGAGGGCCCCCTGGGGTTCTGAGATGAAAGGAGGACTGGTTCTGAAGCCTCTCTCCCTCTCGGTCTGTTCTCCCAGAAGGTCCTTCTCCCATGTCTGGAGTGTGTTTCACCAGGGCAGAACTCTCCCTCAGCATGGGGAGAGGTGTCTCCTCAGTAGCGGTGTGGGGGGGTCTCGATGATGCGTCTCTCGTCACTGCTGGGGGAGTCGGCCGCCTCCGAGTCACTGCTGTCCTCATCCTCCTGCTGGCCCCCAGCAGCCCCCGCCACACACGCCTGCCGATTCTGGTAGGACTGGAGGGTGGGAACAGAGAGGAAAAGGGATCAGTGACCTGCACACACCCCAACCTCTCTTTCAGGGGCCACACTTCCCTCAGTCCCTTTAACCCCTGCTCACCCTCTTCCCTTCCTGAACCTCTCTTTTCCCTCCTGCTCATGGCAGCTCTGCAAACAGCCTCCACCCAGGGCCTACCCCTCCTCAGGAGTCCTCGCCGTGTGTGCTCCGCAGCCTTGACCGTACAGTACCCCCATTCCCCGGGCCTCTCACCTCCATGGGGTTCACGATAATGGTGAGAGCTGAGTCATCCCAGAAGAGGTCCGGGTCCTTGGGATCACTGGAGGTCCCTGGAGGCCCGCTGGCCCCTGAGACGCGGCGGTGAAGGGAGTGGATGCGCACCAGGCCCAGGACGACCATGAGCACCAGGAAGCCCACGCACACCACAATGATGAGGGTCGCGGCGCTGGGGATCACTGCAGGGAGAGTGCGGGGGTGAGCAGAGCATGGCCAGGCATACCTGGCACACTCGGACAGGGGGCTGGGTAGGAAAAGAGGCAGCCCGGGCCGAGGGAGTCCCTGGGCAGACCCCACAGTGACCGAGAAAAGAGGAACACCTGGAGAAGCCAGAAGAGAAACAGCCCAGCCGGAAGGGCAGGAGACGAAAGGGGAGGGAGGGAGCTGCTGCCAGGAAAGGGATAAACACAGAGGGAGGCAGGTATGAGAGAGGCAAGGGCAGAGGAGGAGAAAGCCTCCCGGATGAATGGCCCTATTCGAAGAGGGCAGAGGGCAAGGATTTAAATCTGCCCGTCATCCACCTGTGCCTTCCCCAGAGACCACTCAGCCTAGGAAGGAGGTGCCAGTACCCAGTGAGGGAGGGGAGGGGCCCCCACACAGGCTTGGCTGTGCAGGAGGAGACCCAGGCTCCAAGCCTGGGCTGGCTGCAGGAAGAGGCCACTAGCACCTGAGGCTGGGGACAAGTCCGATGGGCACAGAACAGCCCCCTCCCTTACCCACCTGAGGCTGGGGACAAGTCCGATGGGCACAGAACAGCCCCCTCCCTTACCCACCTGAGGCTGGGGACAAGTCCAATGGGCACAGAACAGCCCCTTCCCTTACCCACCTGAGGCTGGGGACAAGTCCGATGGGCACAGAACAGTCCCTTCCCTTACCCAACTGAGGCTGGGGACAAGTCCGATGGGCACAGAACAGCCCCTTCCCTTAACCACCTGAGGCTGGGGACAAGTCCAATGGGCACAGAACAGCCCCTTCCCTTACCCACCTGGACTGAGCTCTCTCCTGCTCCGTGACACCTCCCTTCTCCTGGTGGGCTTGGGGCTCCTGGACGTCTGGGGTTTCTGCTTCCCCAATCTCTCCCTCTGAGGTGTACTTGCCTCCCCAGTGGCCCTCCCTTGCTTCTGGCCCTGCAGCCCCACTTTGATGCCCAAGCTCAGGGGGACATGGACCCTGAAGGGCAGTGAGACACAGAACGGTGCGTGTACTCTCACATGGACCTTAGAGCTGATGGCAGCAAAGCAGATGTGCATGCACAGGTACATGCCCAGGAAGACCGTGTGAGCACACAGCTGCACAAAGGTCGCCACACCCCACACCTGAGCCAGGCCTCTGCCAGCCTGCATGCCGGCCCACACCAGCCACCCGGCCACCTCCTCACACAGCGGGAGTAAAGGAACGCATCTGAGGGTCTCCAGCAAGGCACAGTAGAGCCATATGGGCAGTGTCACCCAGCTCCCCACCAGCTGGGCAGTGCAGGCAACCCCCTGAAGGAAGATGTAGACACTACAGGCATGGGCCATGAGGGCCACAGAGCGAGCCGCCGTGAACACAGCCCTGCCTGCCTCCAGCGCACACACACACAGCTCTCGGAGAAGCACAAGGATGCAAAGCAGGAAAGCCCGCAGCCCCAGGGATAGCAGGTGGAGGTAGAGACCCCACACATGCACCCCCAGGCCCAGGGCCCTCACAGGCAGCTGGGTCACTACTCCCCACATGGGTGCACACCCCGGTCCACCGTAAATGCACAGCGGCTCCACCCTGGGCAGTCCCGTAGCTAAGGGACTATTCCGTGTATGTGTGCCCCAAACACACACCGAAAGTCACACAAGCAAGCCCCTAGAAACATACACACATCACATCCCAGCCCCGTACTCGAATTACCTACAGCCTGAGACTCATGTGTCAAAAGACAGAGCAGCACGCAGAGACGCCCCTGGCCCAGAGGCGCCCGTGCCCGCGCCCGCGCCCACGCCCGCGCCCACACCCTGCTGCAGCGCCCCTCTGTCCAGCAACCAGCACACTCGGCTGCCACGCACTCCAGGCCCAACCAGGTGTGTGGAGAATGCGCTCCCTGGCAGGCCACACACCTCCCTGAGGCCGCCCTGATGGCTGTCTGCCAAGTTGGTCCCCATCCTGACCCAACCCACTGCCCACTTGAGGCCACTAGCCAATTACAGCAGACTGTGCTAGGGCACGCTCCCCGGACACTGGTTCCAAGGTGAAGACAGGACTGGCTAGATCAGTATTTCCCAACTGCCTGGGAACAGGGGATGAAGAAGAAAGGGACAGAG